CTTATTATCATTTTTGTTTGCGCTCAAGTGAATTTTGGCCTTGAAAGCCAAAAAATTGCGACACACGCAAATCGTCTGCTCTTTTTGTAAAGTCAATCCTTTTATTCACATTGTTAGAGACACAAAAATTGACTTACAAAAATAAAAATAAAATGCATGGAAATATTTATTTGGGAAAATATGAAAATTAATTTAGCAAAAGTATTAACATTTTTTCGCAAGTCACATATCATTTGATTTTGTTTCGAAAATTAATAGTAATCAAGAAACATATGTTGTTGATTTATTAATGAGAAGAAATTAAATTTAAAAGAAAGATGATACAATAAATTATTTAAATCAAATGCAGTCTAATTTGGTGCATTAAAAAAATTCTGCCCCAGCAAACTCTAAAGAAACGTGGATCTCCAAATGAAATTTGTTTATTTGACAAAATAAACAAATGATCATATTGTTATACTTCAATTTTCTCTGTAGTTGGCAAAAAATATTGTATAAAAAATAACTTCAATAATATTATGCAAAATCAATTCATTTTTTATCAAAGATAATTACATCGAGTGCAAAAAAAACTTAGCCTTAATTTGGCGAGAGTTTCGATGTAGCAACAAGTGGCCCAAAGCAGTGAGGCCATAAATCGCCTTGACCCTGTCTCTGCATTCATCGAATACTAATTACTGCTCGACCGCACAATGTTTTACGTCCACTTACGCTTTCATTTATTGTTATTCTGAAAAGGTGACTCGCATATTTTTGCCACTCGGGTGCCAATCAATTAATCACTATGGACGCTCTCGAAAAGAGGTCGCGCATTAATTAATGAATATCGTTTTAATTTAGAACAAAGGAAATCAAAACCACTTCCAGACGGTTCACAATTTGTTGTTTACGAAACTGAATTAAGTGAATGGTGGTCACTTGAATTTTTCTGTTATTATATTTTAGAGGATAAAACTTATGGTTGTCTATTGTGCATATTTGTAACTAATCGATTTATTTATTGATTTGCAGAGGAGAACAACAATATTGATGTTTAATTTTATTTTTTTACATGCATCAAAAGGTTGAAATTACTGCGCAAAAAAGAAAAAAGCTGCACGCTAGTCCAGCTTTTGTAGATATTTCATTATGGGAGTTGAGGAACTTCTTGCTCTCAGAAGTTCGCTGTGCCATAATTATAATGCAAACTTGAAGGTGACCTATGAAATTCACGGTACTGAGCAAGTGAAGACGATAAGACACGCGACACTCTTAATTCTGAAAATATCAAAGCTTGTGGGAACACGGAAAGTCAGAAAAAAGGCGTACGTCGAATTTTTAAAGAAAGATGTAAAATGTGATAAAAAAAACCTGTTCATACTAAAATTTGTTGGGTTCTATTCAAACATTGTGAACTTTTGAATTTTTCAAAGATTTTATTAAATAAATTGAACTCAATATCTCTAGTTTATACATATTAAATTGTCGCATATATCTTTTTAGGGTGATAAAATTAAGACGTGTATTTTGTTTCAGCACATTTATTTTTTTTTGTCGCAAAAAACAATTCTTATATCAATTGGTAAAATTGAAATTGCAAATTTACTGTCATAGTCATATAAGGATTTAAAATGTGTTTGGGAAAAATAAATTAATATGTTTATAATTTTCAGTGTGTCCAAATTTTTAAATAATATAATAATTTACAATGTGTCAAATACGTTAGATATTATGTATATATATAATATAATAATGCCTCTATTAAAATGCATGTTTAATTAATTATCCTCTTTATCAATTTACTTTCATCTTGGGCTATGATTTATAAGGAAAATATAAAAAATATTTCATGGTTGGTTTTTTCCAGCAGCGTTCATATAAATTCATTGGTTTTTTGCTGAGCACATTTGTTATTTCTGGTGTAAAACTTAACACATGGTTAAAATCAGGGAAACACATATTTTGGGTAGTGGCTTATCGGCTTATCAATATCAAGTTGCAAAAAAACCAACCTCACAGGAAATTGCTGTTTTTCTTCATAAAAATAATCACTAGGAAAAACCCATTTTATATAATATTGATTGGTTTGATGAATTCAGTTTTGTGAAATTTTGTATTAATTTTAGTCTGGCCAATTATGAAAACAAAATTATTTGTGAAAATTCCCTTGAGGCACACTGGCAAAAAATTTTGTTTTTCAATAAACTAAATTTCTGTTGTAGTATCCTTAAAACATTAAGAAAGGAAATTCTGTTGAAAAAAATGACAAAAAAAAATAATTAGGCGTTTTTTTTTTTTTTTTTTATCAAAAGCCCTCCTGAAATCAGTTCTCTTTGAATAATTTTTCTTGGCCTAATCTTGATGATAGAATCACTTAGATTATATTTTATCATCTTTCGTGACCTTTCAAACCGTTAACTTCAATGAATCAGTCTAATCGCGTGTGCTGCAAAAATAACACAGGTGATTTAAAGGGTTTTGACCGGCTAATACTAGAATTAAATTATCGTTAGCTGAACATAATAATATGTAATGGGTGAAACCATACATAATTTGAAATGTTCGGCAGAAGTCTTGGCGATCCCACCAATGTTGGGTTAATTTTGTAGGTAGGGTTTTTTGTCATGGACGTCACGGTGATTCTACAGCACACAATCGTTTCCTATAGCTGCAGAGAGCGAAACCGCACACAATGTTGTCGTAGTGGAAGGTTCACTCTCGCTCTCCAAGTCAGTCTCCGCTCTGCTTCGATCCTCGCAACTTCACAACTCCTGCTCCATACAGCATCATTGAGGTAAGCTTTTGACACGTGAATAAATTTATACAGACTTTTTAGCAGTCAGATTTTTTTATATATCGTAGAAAAACAATCGATTTTTAACTTTTCAAAATGATGAATTTAATTTAGTTTTAAATTGTAAATTATAAACATGTAAATTTTGCAAGAAGCCAGATGAGGAATTCTCAGTCTGGAGGTCTTTTGGAAATTTAATTTCTACCAAAAGATCAAATTTGGGCTTTTGAAAAATCAGCTGAATTTAATCCTTATCAATTTATTTTTTTCATCCAAAAGTTTTTCTCACATGTAATGATATGATTTAATTTTGAAATTTTTTGTTTTGTATGTTTAAAAATAAGTTTAAGCTTTGGGGAGCTTTTAAAATTAAATAAACTTATATGTTGGCCGAAAAAAATATTTAAATTAAACTTGACAATTAAACATTTGGGCCAAAATGCATGAAAAATGAGGACAATTCAATGTTTGACCTCGGTCAGCACGCAAAATTAAAGAGCACTGCCAAATTTTGTGTTAAGCCTTTAGGCTTCGTTAACTAGTTGACCTGGAATCGCACAATTACTCTCAAAAATTTTCAATTTACCAACCGAATAAATGCACATAAAAATAAACCTGCTGCTTTTATCGCTCTTTCAACTCAAGACAGAGAGAAAAAGCTATTATTGGAGTTAAAAAAAAAATACATAATTATATATTTATAAATCCTGATAAATTCACAGTAAATTGGAAATAATAAAGTATGATTTTCCTCGTTAACTTTTATTTTTTTATTATTATCTGGCTTAACAGCAAAAATATGTCCCGAAATATCCTCATTTACGTGTTTTGTCAAGTGCTTAATTAATATTGGAGAATAAAATAATGAAGAAATTTCATTCACTTCATGCGACCAGGTGAGATAAATCCTTGTATGTTTGGCCACACATAAAACGGGCGTCTAATAAAAGTTCATTGCCTTCGAATTAAGATTACATGGACTTGTTATAACTGTTATTACAGCATATATTTTGCTCAGCCTCTATTCCTCCTAAAATGATTGAAACGGACGTTTTTGTTAGCGTTAAAATTTGATCAAAGATACCCCCAGCTTAATTAAATTCTAAATAAATTCGTAAAAAAGATTCAATTTTTATATTTCAGCAACCTTGGACAAATCTTATCAAAGTCTAAAATAAAAAATTCTTGCGGAAACAAATCAACAAGTGCACAGATTATGATGGGCCCATTATCTCGATGTGCTTAGGAGAACGCAGGTCTGTGTGTAATAAACACACAGTGCTTCTCAATCGCAATTGTTTTTTATTACCGGCAATTGCATGTGATATACATGAAGGGCCACCCCTCTGTGTCACATTATAATGCCGATTAATTCTCAATCCGATAATTTGTGCGTTCGCGTAAGACGACTGAATATAAACACAACCTTTTTCAAGTAGATAATCGGCCGCAGATCTTGACCCAGTAATCGCAGCTTGTTGTTCCAAAGGGGTTTCGGTCGCTTGATTGAATTTTTATTTGTGCAGCATAAATAATAATAGGGAGTGCCATTAAAAGGAAGGACGCTTCTGTCGGAAGTAAACTTGACCATCGTCCTGCGGTCACGCGGAAAAAGTTGCTTCTGTAAGAGATGTTTTTTTTAACTTATCTAATCAACAGGGGAAGTTTCGAGATCGTAAAAAAAAACTTGAACAACGAGGGGAATCCTGGTGGAAAAAGCCTTCAATAAAACTCGCGGCCGTTAACTAGTATTTCGTGAATCATTGACCTATTACGAAGAAATTCGAGTAGGTGTGACGTTGAGCGCGCGCGTCTATTATGCTTGTGCAAACATTTTTGGCCATGACCATGCACATGACACCCTTTTCCACCTTGGTGATTCTTTACGTACAAAATCAGACAGGCAATGTGGATTCCAATCAATTTTATTGAAAGATTAAATTTTATCAGTTCCTAGACAATTATTAATTTTATCAAACTAATTTTAAGATTAATTATTTTTTAGTTTTTTTTTATATATATTTTGCACCATAAATTAAACTGATTAAAATCATTAACTGATTTTCCTACTTATTATTTGCAAATTTATTATGGAACAACTCAATAACACCACTTTATTGCAAGTAATTGAAATACGCAAACAAAACATAAAGCGCGGCCTCTCTGCTTTTTCCCTGTTACATAATTCAAGAGAACTTGCGTCAAACTTTAAATCAACAATGGTATTGATGCCTTGTGTATTGGAACTTTAAACCTTGTCTCAAAAAATAAATAAAATTAACCGGTCGTAATCCTCAAGCTAAATTAGGAAAGTAAAAGTGAATTTCTCCGCTGCTTTTTTAAAATGAGTCAATTAATCAAATTCCAACAAGCTTTTTTACTTCGCTAAAAGTCCCAATTAAGTCGCTTTTTTTCTCGTTGCCTTTCGAGGCTGCTTTTCATGCACACGGTTGGTAAAATATAAAACATGCGATAGTGCGAACTGTAGGTCGAGTCAAAGGCCTCGGGAAAGATAAATGCATGCACTATTTGCTCGCCCACAACAGAGGAAATGGTAATTATTCCCTTTATATTATCACACTTCACACTGTCTGTGTGTACACTCGTGAGCCGACCTTAAACAGAAGAATTAGAGGGATTTTGATGCTTATTAAATTTATCTGGAAACAGAGGCCGGTGTGCTCCGGTCACATGTTTGTTTTCCAATCGAAGACCCGCTGCACACAACAGAGGCCGTGCGCGACCGAGATATAGTTGTACACAGCAAAGGAAAGTGAAACCTCTTTGATGTTATTGACCATTTGCTAATGTTGTCACTGCCAGTGCAGCTGAATTGAAATGTCCTTCTTTTCCAATATCCTCTATTCCCAACGGAAACGGTGTTTTAGCAGTGATTATGATGGTAAGGGCAACTTATTTATTTCATTTCACTATTTTTTAGTGAAGTATAACATTGTTAAAAACTTTATTCTTTGTCCTCTTAAATTTTACGCAGTTGGTTCAATTTTTCTACAGAAAGCAGTAAAACCAAACAAACGTTTGTAATTGTTTAAAAGAGACCAAGGCTAGCTCTCTGACAATGAATTTGATATAATATACATATCAATTTGAGTAGTATTTTATATAAAAAAATTATTAAATTACTTTCATACTACCTACTATATTACTTGGATTAATTCTTTGATTTAATGAGCGAATTATATTCCAATTTTTTTAGTAAATTCATGTTGATGTGATTATGTGAGTTTTTCATCTTTGATTTATGTGTTTTAATTAAATATTCCTAAAAAATTATTAATTCGTGAACATCTGATGTAAAAAATTCTACACTCGAATTTTTATTTTTGTATAAAATTCAGACTCTATAGTGTTTGATAAGATTTCATATTATATTTCAATGAGTTCTCAACATAGAAATAGGTGTTCATAATTTTTTATTTTTAAAGTGCAACTCGTCTATTCATCGATGAGTTGTTTGGGAGCTCATTGAGCTTTTCTCCTGAGGTGTTTAGTTACAGTAAAAAACAATTTCCTGGCCCTTCTTGTGTTGGCTTGGCCACAAGCGCGGGTCGCGCGGGATGCAGCCATAATTCAATCATGAGCTGTAAATTTTCTTTCTGTAACTGAAAACCAGCAGTAAAACTATAGAGGCTTTAACTAGAACTTTAACAAGAATCCAGATAGATTTCGTAAAAGCTAAACAGAAACTTTTAATACAAGTTATTTGGAGTAATTAGCCGGCGTTTTCCTAGTCTAAGCACTAATGGAAAAGTTGGTTAATTACTCCATAAACATTTCCACGCGAGCTAATTTATTTTTTTATTACGATATATAAATTGATAGCAAATTATTTAATTTAATTGTTTTTAATAAAAAAATTCTAGTAATTGCATAAAATATTAAATAATTTTAACAATAAAATATAATTTAAAATAAAATTTTAAAATATTATTAAATCAATATTAGAAAGTTTTTTCAGCCAGGAGAGTTATTTATTTGCATTTTTGTACAATCATTATGCACAAGAAGATATTTTTGACTGCGCGCATTACAAGTATTCTCATTCTTTTTGTTGCATTGTTTTGGTCCAGAAGCAACCAAGTCATCATCTTCCGCTTTTTCTTTTCTCCATCAACCAGCATGACTAAAAGCAAAATTCTTTTTAATAAACAGAGGGACATGGCTGCGGTAAAAGTAGTCAATTGTCGGCTAACACGCGTGTAAAACCTGTATTGATCAAGCGCGCCGCATTCAAGTGTGAAATAAAAATGCACTTCAATCGCTCTCCCAGTGAGTTGCTTCTATTTACCATGAGAGTGAATGCTTTTTGCCGCAATTTTGTATTATCTCATCCGTCGTGCTTTCTCTCGGGTCTTTTTTGTGGGTTATGCCGCGTGCTGTGCAACGAGCCTAAACAAGAGCAATAATGAAGTAAAACTCTTGTTGTGCGGCAATAAGCGAGAGGCCTATACATGCAAAAAGAGCAGCGAAATGATCGCGTTTCCGCCACACTTTTTGTGTAATCTCTTTTCATGAATGTGAAACAAGTGATGACAAAACATGGCTAACTGTCCATCCATAATGCGCGCGACAGTAAAAGTTAAAAGTTGATGCAATAAAGTCTCATGTACTCAATTTAACTTTTGCCTATTTTTTCCTACAAAATATAATATCTAATAAATAATTTAGATTATATAATTGAAAATTCTTATCGATGGCTTAATTAAATTTCCAATAGATCTTTTTCTTAATTATCCAAGAAAACAATCAGCAGGCTTATCGTTAAAGTGGTCAGTTGAGAAATTTAGACACAGGACACAGGAAGTTTATTTAATAATACTGGAACTTTAACCCTTATAATCCAATTTGCTTTACAAACCTATGAAGCAAATCCTAAATTTAAATAAAATAAAAATTGAAAAGGACTCTTTTTTTATTTTTTGTAAAATTTATTCTATGATAAATATAAAAATAAATTATCTGCATCTCTAAAAATTAACCCATATTTTTAGCACACTGAGAAAATTTAATTTCACAATGAAAAATTTTCTGTAAATTATATTAAAAAAATACCAAAAATTTACATTTTACCTACATTAACATTCGATCTGATATCAAAGCAACCTTGTCTATCAATGCATATCATATCTAACAATAAGAAACAAAGGATTGTTAAATTCATCAATTTTAGTTCTATTTCAACCATGAATTTTGTTCTTAAAACACCATTTGATTAAAAGAAAAACTAATTGAATCTGTTTCAGAGCAACTACCCCTTTTATCAAAAATGGCAGACCCAAAGGCGAGAGAAGCGGACGAGGCCCAAGAGGAAAACGACGTGGTCGCCGACGTGATCGGCGAGTATGGCTCGTGGCAACTGCGACTGACCTTTCTGCTGGCCTTATTCAACATCCCCAGCACCTGGCACATCATGGCCTACACCTTCCAAAGTCTCGACAGGCCCTTCTGGTGCGCCAGACCGACGCCCATCAGAGACTTTGTCAGTCCCAGCATGTGGAGGAACATCAGCCAGCCAGGAGTAAGTCGATTATTTGAAAAAGCCAATATTGCGGAAATCCTGATTTGCATATTTTCTGCATGGCCCACGCCCTATTGCGTGAAATTTAATACAACACATATTCAGTGAAATTGGATACGCTGGTTTTTAATTCTCACACATCTCTCCCTGGCAATTGCAGAATAGTTCGTGCCAAATCTGGAGCAGCATCAATGAAACTTTCAGGCCGTCAGATTCGCCCGTCCTGAGTGGTGAAATTTCCACCTGCACGCAGTTCGAGTATGACGAGACCAACGGAACCACCCTTGTTGCAGAGGTAAAAATAAATCAAAGCATTAAATCCTTTTGACTTTATAAAACTCATTTTCAAAATTTTAAAATAATTTTTTATGACACTTAATTGAAAATTAATTGAATGTAATTTCACAGATTAATTTGACGTTGATTATTTTTTTTCAAAGGTTTTAATTTACTCACAAAATCTCAGAATATAAATACGAGGCACGCAAGGAATGGAAGAAGTATAAATTTGTAAAATAATAACAATATATGCCATGAAAAGTATTTCACAAACAGAGTCTAACATCATGATTCTAAAATGTGTTGTTGATTTTTGACTTCAAACAATTAAAAAATAATCATGCATCTACAAAAAAAATAATAATGAAGCCAAAAGAAAGAATGCTTTCTCTCAAATGATTAAATAATTGAAGGCTGAAGCTCAGATTTGGGTTGCACAAGTGCACTTTCTAGTAGTCTGATCTATAATGATCTGAATCTGATCTCTTTTTACAGTGACACATTAAGTTAATTTTGAAACAAAAAGGATTATATCATATTTCATAATTAAACAAATTTCTCATCCTTAATCGTTTTGGCAATGGAAGTTATTTGTGATTTCTGTTATTCAGTTAATCTGATATTGCGAGCACTATGTTGAGTTTTTAACCAAGCCCGGTGGCTCAGTGGTTAGAATGCTTGCATTCTAATCAGTGGGTTCCTTGGCCGTCATGGGATCAATGCTCAGCCTGAGGCTCTTTGTGGAAACAAATAGTCTCTGGTATGCGAATCATTGATAACATTTCGGCTGACACGTCGGGAATTTGGGAGGTATGGCGCAAGCTGTACCGACTCGCACTCGGAGGTTTGCCGCGTTTCCTCCGAGCCACAAGCTGGAAGAACTCAGCTTGTGTGGCGAATGCCTGCGTTTCATTACAAGTCCTTCGTGGCAAGGCCGGGTCAAGGGGCAAGGTCTCAAGGGGGGTGGGGGGCCCATGCGAGCACCACCAAATCTGCTAGAAAGCCCCCGAACAAGGGTCAGGTTGGTTGGGAAGCACAAATGTGCTAAGGGTGCTCGACTTCGGCAAGAGACCGACCCAATAGCCTAATAAGCTCACAGGTGCCATAAGCAAAAAAAAAAAAATTTTGAGTTTTTATAAGTTAAGAAAATTTCCAAGTTTTAGTTCCTTGAAAAAAAATGAAATCTTTTTAAATTCTAATTTCATCTCGCTAATAAGCTATCATACACATTTTTTTATTTTCGTCTGTTTAATTTTACTTTTATATCCGTTTATCAATGTCAATATTAAAGATGTAAAGTCTTATTATAAAAAAAACTTGTGATTGAAATTTCAGTGGAACCTGGTGTGCGACCGCGCCGTGTTGGTGAATGTCGCTGAAATGACCTTCCTGAGCGGCGTCGCGATCGGCGGCCTGGTGTCTGGAATCATTTCCGATAAGTGCGTGACCTCACCGCCGACCTTTTCTTTTTTCTATAAGTGTAACAATTTTGTAAACAGATTCGGACGTAAAAGGACACTGCTGATCTCCCTGTTCACCCAAATCGTGACCGGCACCATAATTTCCTTCAACCTGTGGTTAGAGCTTTACCTCGTCCTCCGCTTCTTCCTTGGCTTTTCCTCGGTTGCCGTCGTTTTTAGTGCCTTCGTCTTATGTGAGTTTCCAAATTAAAACTAATAATTAATTGTTTCCTTTCTCAATCAATATAAAAAAGGATTCATTTGATAGATCGGCAGAATGGGATTTTTTTAATATTTTGACACAGGGCCTTTTGTGAAGAGTCAATTAATTTACTCAATTTTTCATTTTTGCTATATTTAATTTAATTTCCTCATTCCAACTTTCCAACGCAGATATAGTTTGTAGCAGGTAGATTCAAAATTTCTACTGCTGACCTGCCCTAAATTTAATTGTTCCGGAATAGTTAGCTTTCTAGATCGATAATTTCAAAACTTGTTTTTCAACGATAATTAGTAAATTATAATTTTCAAATCAGGCATGGAACTGGTCGGCGGCAAGTGGCGGACGATTTCTGGCGTTTCGTTTCTCTTCCCGGTGCCCCTGGGCTACATAACTGTCGCTGGCATTGCTTATGTGGTGCGCGAATGGAGGATCCTGCAATTAGCGGTCACTTTGCCGGCTGTCAGCTTGCTCGCGGCCATATGGTATGTTAATCAACCGGGCTTATTCATATTCTATTTATTATTCACTTGGCTTTTGTGTTTCACGTCAATACTCATTTAAACATACAGTATGTTAAAGTTTTGATTTTTCTTGCAAATGAAAAATTGTTTATAATTTGAGATATGCAAACTATTTAGTCAATAATTTTTTTTCATATCAAACGCGATCAAACGGTGCAACGTTCTTTTTACCTCTATGTCGGTTCAATTATTTTTACGTCTTAATAATAGTATTTTTATTATACACATGGCACAGCAACTTGTTAAAATATCCATAAGTTTAAAACTTTGTGTTGATTTTCATTTTCAAGATTTTTTTTTAGATCTTGGTATGTTAAATTTTATTATAAATGTTATATTTTTTATTAATCAATACATTATCTTACGTTATTTGCTAAATCTATAAAAAAAAAAATTTAAATATTGAATTGATTTGTTCTATAATTATTAGGTTTTTTTAATATAATTTTGGATATTTAATTTAATATGATCAATTTTTTTTATATAATTTTGATGCAATTTATTGTGTCAATTGAAGAAAATACAAGGTTTTATAAATTTATAAAAATTCAAGTAAAAAAAGTAACCACTTGGAATCAAATTTTAGTATTTTAATCAGACAATTAATCCAATTAATCTACTAATTCAATTACGCAGCACAATTTTTATTAATATAATGGCATTGAAACTCTCACAAACTTAATTCAAAGTACCAAAATTATTCCATAATAATTTTCAAACACTCAATTGATTAATTTAGGGTCCTGCCAGAATCACCCCGCTGGCTCCTTTCGATGCGCAAGGAGGAAAAATTGATGGCAGTTTTGAAACGTGCCGCCGCTTCCAACAAACGTCCCATCCCAACCGACTCGCAGAAAATTCTCGCAAAGGTATAATAGAATTAAATTTTTCATCGACAATTTTTTAAATTCTAAAAATATTTCAGGCACCACCTCAAGAAAAGGGCGGTGACAGCGTCGGAGTTTTGACACTTTTCAGAACTGCCCAAATCCGAAAGATCTCCCTGGTGCTCTACATAGTCTGGTTTGCTCTCTACACCGTTTACTACGGACTCGTTCTCAACCTTGCCAGCATTGAAGGCGACATTTACTTAAACACAGCAATCTCAGGTTTGTTTCAAACAAAATTTGGCCCAAATTAATGCTGTTCTTTATAAAAAATGAATATTTTGGTTTTCATTAATTTTCAGCCAAGTTTTGCTGATGTAAACAAATAATCTTTTCATTACTCTTTGAAAATAAGTTGATTTTTCAATATATTTGAAACTTGAAAAATTGTTAAAACAATTATTTAACAGATTAGTGAGTTATTCTCTTGATTTTGTTTGTATTTTGGTCAAAATGCAATTTTTTCCAGGTTTCGTGGAAATCCCTGCAATTGCACTCAGTATTTTGCTTTTGATGAAGTCCGGACGCAAGTGGCCCCTGTGCATTGTAACCGCCTCAAGTGGCGTTTTCTGCCTCTGCGTTCTCGCTGTGCCGACCGGTGAGTGATGACGAAAAATCGATGTTGATTTAGATTGTGTAATTTATTGATTAGGCGCTCCCTCGTGGATCACGGTGGCTCTGGCCATGTGCGGCAAATTTGCCATTTCCTGTTCCAACGCAATCCTTCCCATCTTCACCGCCGAGCTCTTCCCCACCGTGGTGCGCAATTTGGGCGTCGGGTCATCTAACGTGTCGGCCGGAATCGCACTCATGCTTGTGCCCTACTTGTGGAATTTGGTATTAATTTTAATTAATCTTTTATAATAATTACAAATTTGGTATTATCATATTTTTACTCTAATAGAACAAGGTTGTTGTAACTGCAAAAAATATTTTTTTTTTAATTAAAATCAAAATTAGGATTCTTTCTCCAATTTAATTTTTCCAACGAAAACATTTACTCTGCGCAGGCTCTATGTGGAAAAAATGTCTCTATTTTTATATGTATTAAAATAGCTAAATCCGATTTAACAGATACAATTTAATAGTAATAAATAATCACCAATTAATAATATTTTCAGGCTGTGATTTACGACAAGCTTCCGTTCATCTTCATGGGAGTTCTGGGCATTGTTGGCGGCTTAAGTGTCATGTTGTTGCCTGAAACCGCTGGCAGACCCATGCCAAATACTCTGGAAGACCTTGAAAGGTTTGTTTTTATTTATAAATAAAAATCACTAATTAAATTGAAATGTTTTAGGCGAGGCAACGATATCAAAAATAAAGCTCAAGCTACTGCAACAATGCGCTCATCGTCAACGACTCGGTCAGTGGTGACCAGACCTGCGTCTTATAGGAAGAAAAGGGACAGCGAATTCTAATGCTTCCAAAAATTGAATAATTTTATTACAGTTAGGAAAAGGGTTGCCAAGTTACTAAGTTACTGTTGATTTTAAAATTTACTAATAATGTTTTTGAGAAAAATTTAATTTTTAAATATTAACCTGGTAACTCTTGACAGGGTCTCTTTAAGCAGAAATGTGATTTTCAAAGTATAACAAAAGCACAAATTACCAATAGACAATTAATTTAAGATGACAAAGTGACAAATGAATGTGAGAGCAAGAGTCTTTTTTAGAAATAGCAGTGTGTCTTCAGTCTTTACAATTATAAAAAAAGGAATTTGCACTTTCTTGATAATTTTGAACCACAAATTGAATAAATTATAGAGGGATTTTTCGAAAGATGCCAGAAAACTGAGGAAACTCATATACTGACTCTGACAATGAGAAAATGAGGAGTCGAATAATAATGTATTGCCCTTGCAAAAACTGCAGATGTTCGCATGACATTTTTTTACTAATTTTTAATGTGAGATGAGGATGAGACATCATTGATTTACAAGGGGACAACACTTTCATTAAATAAAAATTTCTATAATTGTAAGATTTATGAGAAATCGACTCATTCCAGCGTAGATTTTCAAATAGTTTCACCCAATCTAAATTTTCATAAAAAAAAAATGAAATCCTTCTGGACACGCTCGTCTAATAATTGCTGTTAAAACCCCTGACTTCAGGCAATTTTTTGACAGCCATGCTTTGCAAGTTGCATGTTTACCAATTTCTGATCGACTATAGCCAAATTTCGTACCCTTCTGGTTATTTGTACTGAAATATTTATTTTGTTTGTCCGATAAATCCCTTTTTAGTTGAAATGTTTGCTATGTTATTGAGATGGCTTGCGTAAGTGTTGCAAACGATTTCGAAATTATCCATATCTATTTCCTAAGCCAGTCAAGTTCCTATTGTAAAAATTGTTTTCCATCTTTTGTTGGCATATTTAGTGTGCTTTATGATTTTAAATTTATTAATTCTTAAATTTTCCATCTTTAGAATATATCTTACTTAACTGTGTGAACTCCTTTTTGTGGAAAGTTATGAAAGTGAGTGTAGCAATTTTTTACCTTTCAACAGCATATAATTAACTTGTGTTTTTTACAACAATAATGTAATGAAACGCAGGACGCATGTAGCACTTTAAATGTGACAAGTACACATTTTATTATTTATTTCGATTTATATTTTAAATACATGGACGAAAAGAACGTTTTGATGATTTTGTCTGCTTTTATTTCTTTCTTTTCCACATTTTTTTTTAGTAGTTTTACATAATGAGAGAGAAAGAGAGGGTGCGCATAGTATGAGTATGACAATCACAACATAAAGTGTGCAGGCCTTATTAAACCTTCTTCAGAGTTACAAAAGAGCGATGAGAGTCCTTAAAATTTAGTTCGTTGAAGAATTCATTTCTTGTACAAGAATTAAATGAGTTTTCTTCTCTGGTCTTCTGAAACCGAAGAGACATCGAGAGATAGGGAGAGGGGTAGTAAATTACATCAATTAGCAGGCCTTTTGAGTGGTTGTGACACGTTGATTTTCCATTCATATATAATTGTTAAATTCTGAGACGAGTTTTTAATTTATATATAATAATATGAAAACAACACTTATCACAGAAAACAATAAAAAATTTACAGCAATACAAAGTAGTCCGTTTTTCACTTTATTTTTCTTCATATATTTATTTATAATTTAAGGGAGAGAAAATCTCATTCGGATCGATATTGACGCACTCGTTGTGTTGACGTAGCAAGTGGAATGAAAATGTTTTTTCTTAATGTTCATAAATAAAAGAGATGATTCAGATGCTCGTAGTTTTGATTTGCGGAGAGCTCGGCACTGGTCACTGCTTAAACATTCTAATTTTAGATTTATTTTAACTTTTTCTTCACCTTGTTTTCTTTTTACCTGGGTGTTGACTGGTCTCAATGGTCCAGCAGGGTGTTGGTCACCTCTGAGATGGACAGCAGAGGACTGCGTTGTTCCTGCTTGCGCACGACGGGCTCACCACCACTGAGCTGTTGTCCATCATCGGCCTGAAACACGACCGGAACCAACTTTCACAAAAGGTGAATTATTTTAATTAGATATTAATTCAAGTCTCATATCATAGCGCCAACTATTACTCATTCAAACTCATGCTAAATACAAAATTATTAAAACAAAACTGCTGCAAAAATATGTTGTTCAAATTTAAAAACGAAAAAAAAAACTAAGGAAAATAGCTCCCGTGTAAAGGGTCAAAATTAAAATAAGTCCCTGTACGCGCGCCTACAATTTATAATATAATGTTTACTTTTCTCAGATCGATTCTATATTATTTTACTTTGTTGCCATACAGATTAAAACTATAAAATTGATAGCAAAATTACTAAACTAGAAATATATAATTTTCAATATAAATAAAATTAAAATACTATGTGAATTTGTAAATTGTCATATATAATTAAAAAAAATAAATTTAAATAAGTTTAAAATAATAACAAATTAATTTATTATAATAATTCTATCATAAATTAAATTATTTTATACTTAATAATAAAATTAAAAATAATGTCCTAGATTTTTTCTAACAAATTCCAAGAAAAATAAATATTAAATTTGCTATTGCAACAATTCATAGCGAAACTTAAATTTGAAAAGAAAGGAAATGTTTGCGCGTGTCGTGCAGACTCACTCACAGTGCGGAAGGGCGGTGCTGCGCGTGCATGTGGTACGAGTTATAGCCATGGTGCGCGTATACCTCGCCGGTGTACTGGTGGTGGTGCAACTGGCTGACCGGCGAGGGCGCCCGGTAGTGCTGCATGTCCGCCAGCGACTTGAGCGGGTCGTTCGGTTCCCAGCCGACGACGGCCGTCGGCGTGGACGGCCGCGTCGACCCCCACATCAGCACCGTCTGCCGCTCCAGCTTGATGTCGGCGCCCGGCGACGACGGACTCTTCTTCAGGTCCACCGACGACGAGTGCACCGACGGTGGTGGCGACGACTCCGACTTGAAATATCTTCTGGAACAACCGTTGCTTCTTTTAGAAATTTATTTTACAACAATCTTTTCTTCGCACATAAATGTTTTAATTAAGTAAAATTAGAATCTCTATACACAATATTATTTAATTTTGAAGCAATATGAATTAAAGATCGGAAATTTTTACTGTAGATTTAACTAAAGTTGCAATTATATTAATAATTTACAGGTTAATTGAATAGAGAGTGGGTTCAATTTGATTTGAAAGATATTTTGCTAATATCCAAATTGTCTTGACAGCGTGGAAATGGCGCATCAGTGGAATAAACACTTCTCTCAGCCCTCACTGGTTATATTTTTTTAAACTTTTTTTTTGCAAATAAAATAAATTTCATTATTTTAAATTCACAAAATTCACAAAATTATATTTCAAATTATTTTGTAACGGAATAATATTTTTTATCTGATAATAAAAGCGCAACAGAAATTAAATTTATTATTCAAAATTCAGGTAACAACCTGGTAACAACTGAGGTCACAAATAATATATCGTCGGCTACGCGGCCAAATGGCCGATCTGGTAAATACCCCTGTGGGGAAAATGGCTAGTGGCCACTTTCCCCGTTGGGGAAAATGGCAGATGAGCATTTCCGGACAAATTTTTTTTATTGTTCCAATGCATTCAGTGTACAAATCTGCATCAGAAATAACCATAAAAGTATCAACTTTCTCAGTAAGGGGAGCAAAAGTAAGGCAGTGCCACGCCCCCTATACCAAGATCCACAGCATTCCCGCTTGCTGAATAATGCCAAAATTGTTTTAAATGCAATAAATGTTAAAAATAATGAAAATATCGAAAATAAAAAAAATATAAATATAAAATTTTAATAAATTTAATAAAATACCTAACATAAATTAAGAAGTAAAATATCAGAATAAGCTGTAGTTTCGTCAATATTGTATTCCAAAGTGACAGCTTTTTCATGCATTTTGCATGATAATGCAAAAAATTCTTTAAAATAGATATAATTTTAAAATCAAATAGATAGTAAAATATAGATTTTATTATTAAAATATTTAACATGCAACCAGAAGCTTAATGTTGTATCCGAGCTAGATTTTACTTTACTAATTATTGCAATTTATAGTAAGTATTAGTAAAACTATTCATGAGATTATAATTAGAAGTGACGCCGGGTCATGTGAAATAAGAAAAAAATGCTTTTAATGCCAAAATTGTTTACTATTGTTCAAATAAAAGAATAAAATTTAAATTAATTTAAATAAAATAAAATAATAAAAATGTTGTAAAATACGATGAATTAATATAAAATTATATTATAAAATATTATTATCAAGTTAAATTGAACAAAGAAAAGCAGGAAATAATTGCATAAGTGGTTTAATTTCGATTGTATTGTACGTTTTACTCTTTCAGTGTGGAATTAATTCCCTTTAAATTTCTTACAACAGTTGTATATTAAGGTTTAAAAGAAAATTAAGTCTACCAAATTATCTGCAATAACATGCTGAACTTTGGTTCAAATTTTGAAATCTGAACATAGAAAATTAGAGCAGATAATCAGTTTTTTGCTTCCCCTGTAAAATTTAAAAAAAGGCTCATCTGCCATTTTCCCCAACGGGGAAAGTGGCCACTAGCCATTTTCCCCACAGGGGTAATTACCAGATCGGCCATTTGGCCGCGTAGCCGACGATATACTTTATTTTTAAGGTTGTTATGTTACTTTGTATATTCCCACGATTCATTGGGTAATATAATTACGGATGTTTGATACATCCCACAAAATTTAAAAATAAAAACCAAGTAATATTAAAAATAACAGTAATTAATGTTAAAAGTAGATATCAAAGTTAATTTAAAACAAAAATAATTGTTAAGTAAAACACTTTTTAATGTTTTTAGAACTGACCCATCTAGCTGGCAAGGCGGATACTGCAGTCTGTCGTCATGGGGGCTGGTTTTGACCTCGTAGCCGGAGCTCATGACCCTTTCGAGGCCGTACCCATTTGTGTAGGGCATGGAGGTGGCGGGGGAGTACTCGGGAGGGTAGTAGCGATACTGGAACATGGAGGTGTCCACCGCCGTGGGAGGGTATTGCGGGTACTGAGGGTACTCGGGGTAGTAGTAGGCGGCGGCGACTGGAGGCGGCGGGGGCGGCGCCGCCACCGTCGCCACAACCACCTCTGGGGGTGTCGGCGGCGTGCTCTCGGGGGCGGGCGGCGTCGACTGCAGCTTGCGTTTTGACCGACACGTCGACAGGAAGTCGCGCAGCTGCGTTTTGTACCTGGAAAAAAATTTAAATTTGTCGGTCAAAATTTTTCTGGGGATTTGAACGACCGCAATTTTTTGAATTGGGCGAGAGAGAAATAATTTTTTTCGTACATATCGTTGTCCTCATTGTAATTATTGAGGTGCATTTGTTCGGCTTTTGGTTGTTTCCCGGTCGGTTTAGAGAATTTTCTGTACCTCCGAGTGACTCTGGGCGCCGGGGAACTTGTGGGAGTTGAAACACTAGGGGTCGTTGAGTCGGAATCTGCGAAATACGAGTTTGTTAGCCCCGCGTCCAGGTAGCTCACTTTGAAGTCCATGGTGCGTTTGCCCAGCAAGTCGCGGCCTTCCTCCTCCCTGAGAAGCATAGAATCAATATGGAAATCACAGCTTTCACTTATTTAATTATAATAAAGTTCAATATTTGATCAATTGCTAATTTTTTGTTAAATCAAAAAGAATATCATGAAACTATTTTAATATTTGGATTTTTTTAATCTTTAAAATATAAAATTAATTTCAAGTACTCTGGCCAATTTCAAATCGATGACTTAATTATTTTTGAACAGCTCTATAAGGATAAATATCAGTTAGTGTTTATAATTTATCAATTTTTTAGAACTTACATGAGCGGCCGGTGAGTGCTGATGACGAAGTCAGGCTTGGAGTTTTTGTAGACAAGCCTGGACGAGGTTTGCAGCCACTGCCAGGTACCCTCCTTGGTCTGGTACCTGTAGGCGATCATGCCACTGGCACCAGTTTTCAGCACTGCAAAAATTTATAATATATAAGAATTTCCCCGTAGACAAAGCAGAGAGACTTGTCACAAGTGATCAAGTCACGTTTGGCGCAAACGGCCTCTCAAACTAGAGACGGAGCTCGAAGCGTGAAATATGAGACACTAATACTCACATTCTTGGTGCGCACTGGCCACATAAGCGAGATCATCGTAGTGAACTAGGTGGTAGCCACCCATGTTGGTCAACTCGGCGTCCGTGTAGCCCAACAGTAGCTTCCCCCTGAATAAATTAATTTTTAATATAAATTTAAACACCAAAATCATATTTCCAATGGTGAATCTTAAATAATTTTACAATTACACCCTGATCTGAATTTTAATTTTTAATATTCTGTGAAATTTGAATTTTTTTAAATGTGCGACATTGAAGAAAATAAGTAATTTCTTAATTTGAAATCAGGCTTGTTTTAAAATATTTTGTAACTTACAAGTTTAGCCTTTTCAAATTTTCAAAATATTATATTTTGCACTCACCGCTGGTCCATGGAAACGTGAGAGAGATCAAGTTTGTGTTTGCTCTTGAACATGACTTCTTTTTGTGGCACCTCGAGTAGCGACGGCGGCCCGAAGGGTGTGCAGATGGCAAACAAGGCCAGCGGCGGGTCCTCCGTTTTCCTGTTTTGGCCGTGGAGCACTTTGACTCGGCCCCGAATATCCAATCTCTAAAAATAAAAAATATATAATGTTATTTTAGTAAGATGAAGTCGGTACAGTATTATGCAAACAAGGGCACACAAAAGTAGTACACTCGAGAGCGATCTGCATATTAAAGAGGAGGGTAGGCAATCCGCTTAGCATATCGTCAGCGCCGATTGCATAACGAGTCAGTAACCGTAAAATTTAAGCTCGTTTGACTCGGTGGATGAGTTGTAAAAAAAATCGGGATTATATTATTTAAAGTTTTAAAGCAGAAGATGGAATTTGAATATTCAAATTTGAGCATTTCGGGCAGACATCGTTTAATTTTATGTGGGACGATAATGATTACAAGACGATTTCAAAAGTTGAGTATAAGGATTATTAAAGAGCTCTCATTGATTTACCAAAAGTGAATTTATTTTCACCAGAGCTGCTATCTAAAGGCTACGATCGCCCATTATTATGATTATTATTAATAGGCCTGCTTATCTGGCAACAATTATTTTTTATATTTCCTCTGGAAAAAGGAGGCCCGGCACTATTTTCGCGATATCATTTCAGATAAGAAGTGCATTTTATTATATACTTTATCTCTCTCTCTCTCGCTTTTCATTCCAGGTGCTCTCCCATGGTGTGGAATAAACGGGGAGCGCCTTCGTCCGCCGGCTTTGCATTAAGTGCGTACGTCGAACCGCCTGTTTATGTTGGATATATGGAGAGATAGGCATCTCTGCGCGCTTGGGTTGCCATAACGACGACTCAAACAATCTTGAGAATGTCACAAAAAGCACCGTGACCGAGTGAGATATCGAAAAGCAGAAAGAAGAAAATTGCTAAAAAATTAAAAAAAAAATTAAAATAAATATAAAATCCAAATATCTCCAAAAGTATTTGGTTTTGAAATGAATAAAAATTCATTTAAAGTCTAACATAATTTAAACCAGAATTAATTAATTGGCAAAGATCCATTGTGAACATGAAATTTGGAGCTTTCTTCCTACTTTCTCTATGAAGTCATGATTTTTTTTTTTAAATAATATATATATTTTTTTAAATTTTAATAGGAAGCACTTCTACATATTTTTTGGTTGGAACTATAATTTTTTTTGGCATGATATATAAATTAAAAGATTACTTTGTGTATTTCCCATTATTATTTTTTACTGCCACACACTACGGTGACTTTGGAGAAATTTATCACTTTTGTCAAATCTCTTTCACGGCCCGCGGGGCAATCTGCAGTCAAAGCGAAATGAGTGAGCGCACACCCTGACACATTTGTTCACGTCGCGACGACTTTGTTCACCTCAACGGTGACAATCGCGAGAATTATCTGTCTCTGTTAGCCAGCCGTGAATAATGAAAAAATGAAAATGTCTAAAAAATCCCGGAGCTCCTGAAAATTTGTTCCGACCTCGTGAGCAAATAATGACGTTGGGTAACTAATGCTTGTGCTCAAATGGAAAATAGACTGTTAAATTATAAAATAATGAGTTTTGTAAAACAAATCTCTCTGGTTTCTTTTCCTGGTAAAAGAGACATGAAAATGTCTCAATTTTTTAGGTTCCTTTTTTGATACAACATTATATTTTTTATTTCAAGAGGATTTAAGTCGTATATAAGAATTTAACTAGCAGTTTGAAAATTATTTTCACCTACTTACTTTAAATAATATTTAAAAGAAGGATAAATTTAATATAAGAAAGGATTTTTAAGTTAATCATTAAAATATAATAGTTTTTCTAAAATTGATTTATTTTAAAATATAAGTAATAAATAGAAATTTATTATTTACTTAATAAATTATATTAAAATTTGATATTCTCAATATTTGTAAATAACACTTTCCAAACTTGAGTAATCAGTTCAGTATTAAAAGATTGGAATTAATAATAATAAGTTCTTTTAACTCTCTACTTTTTATGAACTAATTCTAACAATTATTATAAAATTTTGCTGCTTTTACCTATGACATTTTCGTTCACATAAAAAAAATATTCAAAAGCATTTTTTTTCATAAATATAATCTAAAAACTGTTTTTTTTTTTATTATACAGTGAAAACATAACAAGGCAAAACTCATTTTCTCTCACCTATGACAATCGCCGAGTGTGGGAATAAAAGAGGATAAAAACAAAGTCCGATCTCAGTCAACAAAAATTAAATTAGGAGATGGGGCGGAAGCAGGCCTCACGGCGCTGGTCTGTTATTAACAAGACAACAATTAGCGCGGCGGCGGCGGCATTTCATCGCAAAGCCTTCTCATAACCTTCGCTCACAATGTGATTAGATAATTCGACCTTAAATATATATTTTCTGGCCGCGACAGGTAAAACAAAAATAGCAGCGTCGACGCAGGAAGTCCCGCCAGCTGGTGCAGCATTCTTTTTTCCCCGACTTTGGCAAGATATTGCACGTGCAGCACAAGATCCCTATCTCTGCGCGCAGTTGTCTAATTAATATTCGCCGTTAATTATGCCGGCCAGAGGGTGCATTAAATTAGGGGTGTTCGGAGGGCGGTGGTGTTGGCAGATCTTGTGCGAGATTTTGTTATATTTGAGTTTCAGTTGGCTTGGTTTGTACAACAGCATGTGGTTGAAATGGACAAAAACAGAAGGGGTTGATTTAGATCAATTATTATTTTGACAGTTATTTGCTCATGAATTTTCAATTTTATATTAAAAATTATGACAAAGAAAACAGATGTTTGATATTTCACTTGTAAAATTAGTAATAGAAATATAAAGAATTAAAAATTATCTGTGAAAACTGCTAAAATTATTACAAAAAGCAGCTGAAAGAAACTGCCCAAAATATCTTAAATTTTTAATGTTTATTTAAAGAGCCTCTTCACTGATCTTGTCAGCTTGTGTTCTTACTGAGTTTGCAGTGGCAAATTTAAAATTATTAGGGGTATTTTCGAATAGTGATGAAAGCACTAAACACTTACCGCGGTTTGAGATTATTCGACCACTTTTTGTGATTTCAAAGGTTCTTTATTTAAATAATTCCTAATTAAAATCTGATAGTAAGAGATAAAGGGGTAGTTGTACTCACAAGGAAGCCAGAGGTGTTGTCCAGAAGACAGCGGAAGCGCACGGTGAAGGAGCGCTCGAGCAGTTGGCAGTAGGTGTCGAGGGCCTCTGGCAGGGCGCACCCGGCGTGCTCGGTGGGCAGGAACGAGTTCCACAGCAGCTGCCTCTGCAGCTCCTCGCGGTCCTCGCTGTGCACCAACTCGTACACACTTTGATGCACTATGTCCGACTGCAGGTAGAACAAAAAAGGGTTACAATTGTTTAAAATTATAAAAAAAAATTGAGAATAAAAAAGAATTAAAAAATTAAATTACATATTATCCTGCCATCAGAAAAAGTATTTTTGTTACTGAAAAACTGATTACGTTGAAAAATAACGGAATTAAATCTAATTTCTCTGCTTTTATCAGCACAAAAAGTAAATATGAACTTTTTTTTAATTCAACTACAATTCTTATCTCAAAATATATAATAATTTACTAATGTATTTTTAATTTATATTTCTTCAAACCTCTTCACAATTTCTGAAATACATTTTTGAATTATTAGGTCTGAAAGATAATTTAAAACATTCCATCCAGACTTTAAGCTCAATTAGCAAACGTCCATTTCACAGCATGATTTTAATATTTTTTCCTCTCTCTCTTTATCACCAATGTGCTGTTTTCCATTTTTCACTTCGGGTCAACTCCATTACGCGAACAACTTGTATATATATTATAATAATTTTCCTCAAGTCGAATATTATCTGGATGGACAAAAGCATTCTTCGGGTGCCTGAGCGCGGCCGTTAATTAATGAGTGCGAGTGCAAACACCACCCTGCGGTGAAGCGCCGAGGACTTCCCGCCGGCTTGCAAACGAGGAACCCGCTGTTGCCCAATTAATAGTCACTACAGCTTGTAAACAAACATGAAATATGGGCCAAACCGGCGCCCTATCCTATCTGAAATGCGGCGGAGAAATTTATTTACTTTTTCGTGTGGGAAAAGAAAAAAGATGCGAAGCGATTGCAGAGTTGTTTTGAAATTTTTACTTACTTTACAAGAGAGGAACGTTCTATTAATTCTTATGGACGGAATTCAAAAGTAAAAAAGTAAGTTTTTTTTACTTACAAGAAGATAAAAGTTGTGCTATTTTTATACAAAAATTTAACAAAAAAATTTTACCAATTTATAATTATTAGTTTGTATCTGTACTCAAATTATTGTTATTTATTTTAGAGGAACAGGTAAAATATTTACCTATGTGAAACAAAGAACGATTTTTAGTAAGAGTTAAACACTATAAATAATTAAATTAAATAAACTCATGATTGTTAAAGTTAATTTTAAATTTAAATATCATCGTTAGCATAGAATTTTCAGAGAAATTAAGGAATAACGTCCCGATGGCAAATATATTTTAAAGAAAATAGAACTAATCACAAATGATAGCATATTTTACAATCCCATATTTCTGACGAAGCGCGCAATGAGGAAAATTGGCAGCAGCACGAAAGGCCGTCGGCGGCGGAAAATCGGTCGAGTTGCAGACAAAACAAAAGGTTGAGCACGCGTGGAGAAGAATGGAGGGACATCACGCCAGATTGTATGCGACTAATTACGCGTGCCGACAGATTAGGAAAAAAAGCAAACGATTAGAGCACGCATGCCCGTGCACGGCGGCACGCTTTTGCCGAGGTAAATATTGACAGTGTGTCAGGCCGAGGCCGAAAAACGAACGGGAATGGAAGATAAATGCGTCTGGCGTGATACAGGCTAGGTGTCGTGATGGCAGGTAATTATTGGCTCCCTGTCCTGCGCAACTCACCTGGTGAAAGCCCAGGTAGCTCTCGATGGTGTGGGTGGCGAAGAACACCTCGCCCTCGCATGTCAGGATCAGCAGGAACCCATTCAGCGCCTGAAACACACACACAGACTTGCTCTTTATTTCGTGTTTGTTTGACATAAGCACATGCACACACACACGTTCACTCTTTCTCTCGTTTTCAATGGCCATGCATTGCACGAGATTATTGTTATTTTTGTGTGTCGAGTGGCGATTTCAACGAAAATGATACGAATATTTTCAATGATACGAAAAAAGGTCAAATTAAATTTCAATTTATGTGAATATTCACAGGAATCACAGGTGTCAACGTTGATATAATTTAGTTCGTTTCAAATAATAATTCACAAATTGGTACAAAGATTAAACGTATTTTAGTAAATTGACTAATTTTTGTTTTGGGAATGTGGCGAATCTTAAAAACAAAAACAAGCTCTAAAATTTTAAGGATTTTAAAAATAGTCGTTGTTCATTTGAACTTGGAAGCCCATAACAGCTTCCTACCAGTTTGCTGTTGAGACCATAGTCAAAGCCACACTTTTTGGTGTATCAAACCCCCAATTTTGACTGTGGCAATAGAAAAATATTTAATGTAACAGGCTTGGAATAATTTATCAAGCTCAACTAAATCAAGCTTAAAATTTGCGATCCTAAAAAGGAAAATTAGAATTCTTAACGTTTTGAAAACTGACAGTGATAGGGGGATAAAAATTGTATCCACCTCATAAATAATTTCTTTTCTATACTGACAATGAATCACACTGGGAACTATTGCCCTCATGGGGATTGAATTCCTAAAGAAATTGAAAAATTTTCAATGGTTTTCATTGATTTTATGGAAACTGGTTAGGCAACGCTGCAGCTGCTTTATATACTTCACCAATTAGTTCATAATATATTCGTCTACTTTTGATCTCCATTTGCAACAAAATAATTCAAATTTTGATTAATTTTGTGAATCGACAATGATTTTGTACGAACGAAACCATTTAAAGCATTAATCATTTCAGCAATTATATTATTTGCATTATTTTAAAATTTTCATGAATGAAAGAGTTTCCATTTTTACGGCTGTTTCGTGCGTCTGTGTGATTTCGTTTGAGGGCGATCAGCGGGGACACGGACGGCGGGCCGCTCTCATCTGGCGTGCCGCACTTTTCTCGTTCGTGATTGCGCTTTTGAGAGTGTGCGAGTGTGCAACACACCACTTCTCTATATAAAGACCGGCTAAATAATATCGGCTTGACGACTTCATCACGTGGATGTAAATCATTTCGGACTCGTTTGTTCATTCACTGCACGCCGCGTCGCGCGAGAGAAACATTCCGGCAGGTGGATTTTGAAATCACGAAAGTTTCACTCTCTCTCGTGCTGAAAGTCACGTCCAAACACAGTGGTCTAGGTCTAGGACGAAATTTTAGTCGGATATCCGAGTTTTTCAATAAAGGTCAGCGGAAAAAATTTTGCGTGAAAAAGCATCTGAAGCATCTCCAAAAAGATTCAAAATATTCTATGTATTGTGAATATTTATAAATTTATCAAAAGTAAGTGAATTATCGCACACCAATCACCAATTGAATTTATACTTCCTCCTTCATAAAATTCTCTCTCTTTGAACAGTTCAGATATATTATATAATTCGATACAAACAAAACTCTAAAACTACATTTTTTTTAACTTTATGAATCAAAAATTAGATTTCAAATGACCAAAACTTTATTTAAAAATTATTTTCCATTGCTTTATTTATAAATCAACTGCTTTTGACGTAACGAAATAAAGAAAAGGGCATCGTTTTCCTATTTCAAAATTGTCTCTTCGCTCTCAATATTATTTGTCACAGTAGCTCATCCCATTCGTACCAAGGTTGGAGACATAAAACTGCTTTTATGCCCTCCATAAAGCCCAGAAGTTTATCATCAGAGCCCTTACGTTTTTGACAAGAGACAATCAATTTATATGTACGTAAAATATTTTATATCCAAGAGCTTTGGCATTTATTTGAGGGTGCGGGAAGGACGATCCATTTCTCTCTCTCTCTCTCTCTCTCTCTCTCTCTCTCTCTGGGTCCAATGGCTCCGGGGTGGCGTCGGCAGGGGCGCGTGCGTCCTCACCCCCCGGAGGGGTGCACCCCAGAAAGACGTCGATACGCGCTCGAGACCGCCATTTTGACAAATCTGCGCCCTTTCGCCGTCAGCTGGGCCGTGCACGCCATTCGGCCCTTTGTCAAGCAGTCGGCATCTCTCGATATTATTTACTTTTTCCTGCGCTGATGGAAAAAGCCAGTCGCATGCACACACCATGCTTACACACACAAATAACAAAAAAGCACAAGGCGGCCACTTGAGATTATTTATATCGCGAGTGGCGCAAAATTCGCAAATGAATTTTTAAAGATATGAGCTGTAAAAGATGAAAAAATTTAAATTTATACAACTTTTTACGCACTTATCAATATTGTTTCAATCTGATTCGCCACCAATTCTTTACCTTTCAATGAACTTTCACTGCAAAACACTTCTTCATCAATTAGTTTAATTGTAAAACTTGAAATGAAATGTAAATAAAATATGTATCAAATAGACCATTACACCAATATTATTACCAAGTATGATTATCTTTTCTATAATTAAAGCACTTCGTAACATTTTTTTTTTCCAATTTCAATATCAACTTGTATCAATTTATCAAATAATTATAAATATATTATTTATAATTTATAACTAAAATTCATATGTTAAAAACAGAACAAAAATGATTAATTTTAGTTTAAATTTTCAAACATCAAACACGTTTAAAATAAAATGTAGTTTTAATTGAATGTAAAACAATTTAAATTTGAAATAATTTGGTTTAATTTACTTATTCTCTTGCAACCAGTCAAACAAGCAATGAAATAATATCACATTGGGAGAGAATTGGCAGCCAGGTCTAGTAAACAACTAAAACTCATAGGCCTAATTTGGAAGCAAAAGTGTTTCCAAATTAAACCTACTCGCGTAGCTGGATCTGTTAACACCAAATACTCTTGACAAGGAAAGATGAAACTTTCGCAAAATTTTTCCTATAGGATTAATGTAAATTTGATTTTGAGGCGCAGAAACCGTAACATTGTAATTTGCTAAATTGATTGTGATGTTGAATTTAGCGAAAATGAACAGTACCTTCAGTCCAAACTTCGCTAACGCTGGACTCAGAGCAGTTAGAGGGAATAAGCGATATAAACGGCTCTGCAAACAGAGCAACCGACTCTCCAAATAGCGAAATCAGTGAATTATGGATGGCCCTCCACATATCGACCTTTTCACAAACATAAAATATTGATCTGCGTCATGGAGAGAATCCACACGTTTATATAACATGTGCCCGGCAACAAAAGTAAGAAGTTTGTTCTGAAACTTTTCCCCCCGGCAATAAAACTTTCTGACGTCAAACTTCACTACTTTTCCAAGAAGAAGAAAGGGCGAAAAAATAAATAAAGCTCGCTGTCTTGCTGGTTGCATAGCTTGGGTGAAAATCTTAAACATTAAAAGGATATTATGATGTATTTCTTTTTAATCTGCCGACCGCTATCTGAGCGGCGGCGGGTCTAATGATTTTATAATAAGCCCTCGGCGGCGAGTAGCGCGTCCGTGGGTGGAATTAAAGAACAACTTTCAGCCCCGCTGCTGCCATCAAGCCTCGGCTGGATGATAATTATTGCCGGGCGCGCTGCAGTGATAAAGAAATAATACCCGGCGAGTTTCGCTCTCCGAACTCGTGGCACAGCAGCAGAGAGAACCACCCCTGCAGAAAACAACAAAGGCAGGTATGTGTGCGCCAGGGGTGAATCAGACCAGCGCGGTTAACTGCCACAGAACATGCAACCTACCGCTCCACTCACTCTTTCCTTCTGACTCACCAAATTGAATTAACAAAACAAAAACACTACTAAATAGCATGGCCTGCCCGCCTAGGTGTGCATTAATAATTCACGCGGGCAGCCTCTCCTGAACCAAGATTAGTGTCTGTCCGGGAAGAGGGCACAGAATTTGGATGATGGTCGTCATATTTTTCGCTTTATTCCTCCGCTCGCTTCCTACATTGTAAAATTTTACGGCGGAAAAAAGAAAAAGAGGAGAGCAGGTTTTTTATTGCGACGGCCACTCTCGGCCACGGAGAGAATTTTCGGCAGTTCTTTTTCCACAAAGCAGTGGTGCTGAGAAAGCTTTACTTTTTATCGATTTTGCTTTTATTGTGGAAGAAACAATTCATCCTTGGAGTTCAGGTTGTAAAATGATGACAATTTTTCCATCTAAATAAAAGTATTCATTGAAATAAAATTATTACTAAAAACTAAAATTTTTTATAAAGGAGAACAATGATTAGAGAATTTGAATCTCATGCCACAAAGACTTCGTTTATGGGCGACCAATAGATTTAGGTATTACTTTTTAATATCAATATTAGGCATAAACACTATCTTCGCATTGACGGTTTCTTTTTAATTATAATGATTATATAGATTTAAAAGCTTTATTAACCTTAGCCAAGTAAAACATATAAAAACTTACAAATTTAATAAATTAATAAAAAATATTAGATAAATAAAATAATATAAAATTATAGCATAAGATATATGATGCTTATTAAAATAAATAATTATTTTTACTGTTATATGCAAACAAATTATCAATAGCAAATTATATTAATGTCTTAAATTGTAAATTTAAAAAAAGAGCCTAGCAATTTATTTTCAAACTTTTGCACACACCAACCATACACAAAATAATCGGAAAAGCGTGTAACGTAACAGGATTCATTTCAGATTTATTTATACTGATGAAAAAGGTATCTTTTCCTGAAAAAAGAACTGAGGCTGAAATTGTACAAGTTAATTAAAGATCCAAGTAAAGTCTTTTTTTAAAAAAATGTTTAAATTCAAAAGCTTATTTTCAAATAGTTTTCTGAATTAAAATACAGCAAGACACTTATTCAAAACACAACATTAAGTAATAAAAAAGCCATCTGAAAAAAGTTTCTCTCGATATTTGTGCTATCTATATTGTCTAATAAGGATAGATCCGGTAAAATATTAAATTCTGGAACCGAATTGTGTAAAGAAAGTTGCAAAATATTTATGAAAATGACGAATTCGAACTGTCTGAATTATTTTGGAACAAATTAAAAAAAAGCCTCCACCGGTATTAAATAAAGTTGCTGGTCACTTGGACTACCAAAGTAGAGCTGCGGAGAGCTTTTTTCTACTCGTTTATCCAAACACTCAACGGGCGAGCAAAAAGGACGCACGAGTGGTCATTAATAAAGAGCAACAGAGCCACAAGATAGGCCGACGGACAAATGATGTCTGAAATGCAACCTGGCAGTTCTCTTCGAATCGAAGCGGCTATTAATCTTGAGCCAAGGAGGCGATTCCCTCTGTGTGTATCTTTTCGAGTAGCTTTCATGTAAAGAACATTAGAGAAAGGAAACTCCGAACACACGCGCACGCGGCTTGCGAGCGGGATGAAGAAGAAGACCTCAATCAGACGCCCGGCCGGGTGATTAATCTCGTTGTCTTCATTTAATATCATAATAGACCCTTGCGAGATGCGCACTCGCGGAGATTAATAATTGTGAGCAGCCAGATCTTAATCTCTCTTTGTACGAAATTACGCGGTGATGGCCCGAATTAATTCCATTCATATTACACTAGATGATTTAGACATTAAGCCGAAAGGTCGGATAAGTCAAGTTAACCTCTTGAAATTTTAACGAACTTGTCCGATCAGTGTGTTTTGTCCTCTCAACTCGCACACAGTGCAAAGAATATTTTTTATTTGACACCTGATTTCCATAATACGCGAGTCAATTAAAATGTTGGCTTGGGCGCGCGTGAGTGTTTTCATATTTATTAGCTTACCTGCAGGAACATATCGCCGTCCAAAACGGAATGATCTATTGCTGTGAGGTCTCGATGCCTGAAGGAAGGGTCGCCGTGAAGACCGTCCTCTTTGTCTCTGTGCATCACCACTGAAAGCAGATTTAAACCAATAAAATAAAAAAAGGTGTTTTAGAAGCACAAAATTTATGAATATATGCATTAAAAAAGTATTTCTTTCTTTTTTACGAAACATTTTATTTAATGAGCAATTAAATTATTTCAATGACGACAAATAATAATTAAGGTCCATCTTTTAATGTTTTAATGTTTTGACAGTAAGTATAACTCTTTAAGGATAATTTGGGTTGGTCAAGAATTGTATTTAACAAAAATAATAAAATATTTATGGAGCAACAACCAGTTTTATGTTTCTTACCGTGACTCAATCCTCAATAGAATTTAAAATGGTATCGTATAAAATATATTGTAAAGTTTTAGTTTTTCCAAGCAATATATTATTGTTCATAGTTCCGAATTATGGAAATCAATGGAAATTAAACCGGATGGAATCACCAGAGCTATATAGATTTTATGCAATCTGGAGCACTTCAGTGTTGAGCAGGTTGCATTTCATTCAAATATTATTTTGCTCATAACTTTGCTGGAAATTTTTTATTCACAAAAAATCTACTTGATCCACAAATTCATCTTTAAAAATCTTATTTAGTTTAAAGATCTTAGATATTTGTCTTCAATTATAATCAAGCCAAACGCTAATATCTCTGACGTTAATGATGATAGAAACAGCTACATGATTTAATTCTCTAGTGTAATCTTTAACGGCTGGTGGAATTGAATTTGTCACAAAATCCACCTTTCGGAACAAGGAAGTGGGTTCCCTTTTGCGATAAAGTTTAATGGATGCGTTTCGTTCACGCCGCTTTGACTTTAGGTGCTGTTATGATAATTATTGAAAATTTGGTGTCACTCGGCGTGTGACATCCTCGTAGGGGCGAATGCACTCTTGCAACCCACCCAAGTACGACAATCTGGCCAATTAATCGCTAAGTCGTGCCCGCATTAATTGCCAAACTTATATTTTTTGTTCCGAAAACGCCGAGCCCTTTTCCTGAAGTAGAATTTATACACACGGTACAATAAAAGTATTATATCCTTTGTTATACTCAAAATAAAAACTAGCAACGGTTGATTCTTTATTCACACCTCGCCGACTTCCCTTTTGGAATTAGTTTTGTTTGCAAATGCGGTCGATAAATCACGAGCGAAAATCGATGCTAATTTATTCCAACCCCGAATAAACACGGACAAAAAGCAGCGGCAGGGAAGCGAATGCCCCATGATGGGGCATGAAATCGTAATTAGCCGCCGTGATGATCCGCAATTGTTGGGGTGAGTTTTGGCGAAATGTGGCTGCGTCATCGTCTAATCACTCACAATGAGAGTATCGCTTCGGAAAGTGAGCATCTCGCAGCGGGGGCCTATTAACAACTTTATCACGCTCATTTACAAACCTCCATTGTTGATATACCGGTGCACACTGGTCTAGTTCATTTTCACGGTTTGCGACTTTTAAACGGCGTACCTTGATTTTTGATTTGCGCCGCACGTTTACAATTTAACCAAAAAGATAATTTTGTATGTATTTGATGGCTGATTTTCATTTTTCTTGTTACTTTTGGATCATTAAGACAGTATTTATGTTAAATTGCATGTACTGTTTGAATCTCGCACATGCCAAAAGAAGTAGAAAAAGGATGACTTTTCAAATAAAGAATCAAGCCTTCCTAGTAGTTTTAACAATGTTATTAGAAATTAATAACACTCGATTTAAAAATTCTGTTTTATTTGGAGATTTTACAACAAGCTTGAAGTTTTTTTTAACACAAATTTCTGAAGGGTACATTTTTTTCATTGCTGCTTGACAATAGTAAGGATTGATCTCGTTAAAAACTTTAAGTATTTATTTGTTTAAATTATTTTTAAGATGAAAAAATTACATCAAAATTTAGGGCAGAAATGAAGCAATAATAATACTACTAAATTTTATTTTGACATATCTATATAGAATATCAAATAATTACTCACTTTTAAAGACCGCTTTCTTAAAACGACTATAAACTAAAAATTTGCTTCATGTCGCTTATTTTTATTTAGAAAAAATGTAATTTCTCATGGCAATTTGAATTTTTAATATTCCATTTTAATCATTGATTATATCTATACATTCGTCAAAATGAACTTCACCCTTCACTCCAATGAAATTTGCATCTTAAATGTTTATTTGCATAGTCTTTTTTATTTTATTAACCTTCATTTTAATTACAATATTGATAAAAAAAATTAATTACAAAATTTTAAACGGTATTTCAAATATTTGTATATTTAAAAATTAATTAAATAATTTAAAAACTAAGTTATTTTAAATTATAATGAATTCTCTACTTAGCAAGAATTTGAGCATAATCAAAAGAGACAAAGCCACACAGGCTGCCACAGCAGCAGTAAGATTGAGTTGTCTCCATTCTTTTTATTTACGCGGCGTAATTGCAAAAGTTAAATTGGAGAGGCAGGCGGTGGTCGATTGATCAGGCCGCCGTCGTCTTTCAACTCTTGACGAGAGAGTAATGGTCGGTGCAATGGCACAGAGTTGCCCATTCTCTCTCAATCGCATCTCGGGTTTCAGCAAACTTATAATAACTGGACGAGACTTATTTTGCTGAGACTTGAATGCGCGGTACTTTGGCCCGAGCCAAATTATTATTTACTGGCAAGTATAGGAAGAAACTCGCACATGCCCAATCATTATTTACGCAAGGAGAGAAAAAAATAAAACCTCGTATATGCAAAACAGCCCACATGGAGAATATAGTTATATTTCACGCCTATGGGTGATGAATGGGCGCCGACGCGGAGAAAATAAAAAAATGAGGAGAAAAAAAAGCTATTTTCCCGGAGTTATTTATCTGCAGAAGAGTCCATAAATAAATATATAAAATCAAATCCCAGAAAAAGTTTTTACATTTTTTTTTTACTTCTCCCGGGTAACCCAAGTCTGTGCATCTCCGAGATAAATTTATGTATAAACAATAGTGTAAACGCGCATGGTAATGAGGCGCATGGTCGACTCTCTCGTAATTAGAAATATGGTCGGTGTCAGCACGCCTGGATTTATCGCCCCAGGAGGGGGTGGGAGCCGTAATAAATAAATCCAGCTCTGGCTCGCTCGCTCGCTTGCTTTGGAACAAAACCTCGCTTCGTTTGCTCGGGCGCCGGTTTCGCGCTCCCGTCGTCTTGCTATGCACCCCGTTCCCTAGGCAACCCGGAATGCACGAGGCATGCGCCCCCTTTCGCAATCAATAAACCCTCTCGCTTGCTCGCTCCGGACACGCCGCCGGTCTGGCGGCTGCCAACCTGTGACCCCTGCAACTTATTATTGGCCCCATCCGCCACCAAAGGCTTATCTGATAATTCACAAAGAATATTAAACTGCCGCGCGTTTGTCAAATCAAAAGCTCTATCATTTGGTTTTTCTCTATTTGGCATCCTCAATATTACTTTTTTCTCGTGAATTCTCATGAAATTAAATTGAAAATTTTAATTCATCCACTCCACATTTTTCCTCTTGCTTGCGATAAAAATAATTCGTAAAGATTTTATTGTATTACAGAATCTTTGTTTTTATAATTAAATTCACGAATTTTGATTTCAATAAATTTATTTGTAATATAAACTCGTTTTTTTTTCTAGGGGGTTAATGAAGCTTGTCTCTTTTTCTGGTTGTAACCGACAAAATTATAATAGTTGGTGAATTGAACTATATTTTCTCCTCTAATGGGGAAGGTAACATAAATCAATCAGGAAATAAACAGAATTGAAGACAGGGTTTGTTGACTTTGTTAGGGTAGGGATTTTAGGTTTACACTTTTCATTTTGCAGTTATTTCCTTTTAGTTGCACATTGTGTTCATTAATGTATCACCGGGCATTCTCTGCCCAAATACATCATCCATTTATTACATCATCCTTTTAATAGAAAGTCAAGAGAACAAAAATTATAATTAATTAATTATTATAATTTTAAATGATTAGAGCAGCTATGCACAAAAGGCAATAAGAATTTGAGTTTGGTCAAAAGTCAATTTCTTACATTACATTTGAAGACTTTACAATATATTAATGTATTATTTTTAATGCTTTTGCGTGCATTGTAATTTTTAAAATCAAACACGAATATAAAATACTTTTAATTTGTTTTATTTTCATTATTAAAAACTAAAATATTTAAATCTTGTAATTTGAGTAAAATCAATTAAAAATGAGCAAATATATTTAACACTCTTATAACTATGTCTTTAAATTTTATTTTAAATATTAACACACATTTATTTTAAATGTTCTACCCAAAAGAATGTTTTTTATACAAAAGTTATATTTAATTATTAATTATTATTATGTACATAAACATTGAACTTTGTTTGAATTTCGATTCTATTTTTTCAATCTTTTCCCATTATGCAATTCATTCCAACATTTTGCCAAGAAAATTTGTCATATTTAATGGCTTTTTTGCGCAATTACAAAAATGATGACCTCACTCATTCGCTCTCGCGCAGCTAATCAAAAGGAAATATTTTGCTGCGAACTGGTACTAATAAATTATTACACCTGCAGGTCTTCCTTCTCTTTATACGCGATAAATATTTTCCTTCTCTCTCTGCCGCGAATTTATGCGCAAACGCTGGTGACTGAGAAACTGCGATTTGCGCTTCGTTTCTTGTTAATTTTTTTCCCTCGCGTTCGACACCCGTACAAGTTTTTTTCCCCGATTTTTTTTTCTCCGGGAGTGCAATTCTGTTTATATGCAACAGATGCAGGTGAAGTGCAACCAATGCTGGGATTTGGCTATTTATGAGGAAGCCGCGCATTTCCTAATCCGGTAGAATGCATTTTCATTTATTTATTTATTTATGCTCCGTGTTTTGTGTCCAATTTATGCAACTACACAATCGGCTGTCTGTCTGTTTGTTGTTCTCGGTGGCTAAATGGTAATCGCGCTCTGTGTCTGAGCACGCGGCACTTTTGGGGCTGCCTCTATATTTGGGCGCCTCTCTTTCACTCGTAGTTTTCAG